CGGGGGGCCCCCGGCTCAGTCGGCTCACCCTGGCGTGGGTTTTGTTGAAGCAAATGATCCTTCTTGAATAAAACAAATAAAAAACTGAAAAATAGATTCAAAAAGAAGAAAAAAGAACTAAAAATGACCCAGAGACTGCCCTTTTGGAGGGGTGTTGCAGTGGCGGTGGTCTGCTGCAGTTGAGGTGTATGCGCAGCTCGAGGTGTACGGGCAGCTCGAGCTGTCCATACACCTCAGCTCGCTCCTTTATTCTCCTTTCCAGCCGTTTTATTTGTTTTATTTAAATCTATTTATGCAAAATAATGCAATTAAATCCCCTTCACACCTAAAATAGAAGGCCGTGGCTTCCTCGCGGCCACTGGTGCTGCTGCTGCTGCTGCTGCTGCTGCTGCTGCTGCTGCTGCTCGGCAGCCGACAGGCGGGATCCGTCTCCAGCTGCTGACCGTCTCTGCTGCTGCTGCTCCTCCCTTTTGTGCTTTTTGTTTGTAATAACTCTTTGGATTTATTTTAATTTGAACAAAGTTGAGTTTCATCCTTTGTGCCTATTTCCAGGTGTACGTACACCTGACCAGCCGCGACAGCTCCAGCCGCAACACTGCTGCTGCTGCTGCTGCTGCTGCTGCTGCTGCTGCTGCTGTCTCTGTCTTCTGCGGCTTCTCTGGCAGCTCCCGCGAGTTTCTTTTGGTTTTCTCGGTTGCTTCGTGTCACTCAGCAGCAGCAGCAGCAATGCAAGGCCACCAGCCAGCAGCAGCAGCAGCAGCAGCAGCAGCAGCAGAGGGGCCCCCCTCCGCCAGTGGCTGGACCCTCTCTTCCAGCTTCCAACCCGCAGAGGGGGGCCCCCTGGCCTTCGAGGGGGGCCCCCTGGCCCTGGAGGAGCAGCAGCAGCAGCAAGCGGAAGGTGAGTGCAGCAGCAGCTGCTGCTGTTGCTGCTGCAGCAGCAGCAGCAGCAGCAGCGCAGCAGCGGAAGCCAGGGCACAGAAGGGATTAAGGACACTAAGAGGAAAGACAATAATAAAAGCAAATAGGAGCTGCATGCAGCAGCAGCAGCAGCAGCAGCAGCAGCGCAGCAACGGAAATAAATAAAAGAGAAAGAAAAAGAAATTTATTTTCATTTTAAAAAGAACTCACAGACATGCAGCAGCAGATTAGCAGCAGCGTGAAATAACAGAGATAATTAGAAGCAAAACTAATAGGCTAAAGTACGGGCAAGGCCAGCATACACCGCTGCAGCTGCTGCTGCTGCTGCTGCTGCTGCTGCTGCTGCTGCTGCTGCTGCTGCTGTTGCTGCTGCAGCAGCGGCAGCTGCTGCTACTGCTCATGCGCTTTGTTTCCGGCCCTAAGATCTGACAAACTGGCTCTTTCTAGGCTCTAGGGTTTACAGCTGCTAAAATTAAAATTGCTGCTGCTGCTGCTGCTGCTGCTTCTGCTGCTGCTGTTGCTGCTGGTTCTGCTGCTGCTGCTGCTGGTTCTGCCCTCCTTCCGGTGCTGCTTCTACGGTGGCGTTGCCTGCTGCCTTTGCTGCTGCCACCGCGTGTGTTCCTGCTGCTGCTGCTGCTGCTGCTGCTGCTGCTGCTGCAGACTTCAGCAGCGCCAAGAAGATACTAAATAACGCGCTGCACCTGCTGCAGCAAGAGGGGCCCCTCGAAGCAGCAGCAGCACTCTTCCGCAGCAGGCCTTATGGGGAGAAGCTGCTGCGGTTCTTGGTCCACAGCTTCATAGGTAAGGCATGCATAGCAGCAGCAGCAGCAGCAGCAGCAGCAGCAGCAGCAGCAGCAGCGGGAAGACTTTTCCTCGCGGCCTTTGTGCCACTTGGCCGCTGCAGCAGCAGAGGCAGATGAACATGGATCCGACCTATGTGTGCTGCTTCGTTTTGCTGCTGCTGCTGCTGCTGTGCTGCTGCTGCTGCTGCTGCTGCTGCTGCTGCTGCTGCTGCTGCTGTGCTGCAGGGGCCTGCGCGCTGCTGGGCCTGGCGGTCGTGCTGTCTGTGCAAGTGCCCCGAGGCCTTGCTGCAGCAGCAGCAGCAGATAGTGTTTTGCTGCTGATGCTTCGGGCTCCAGCAGCAGGAATTCTCCTCAGCCTCTTTTTGTGGCTGCTCAGAGAAGCTTTTGCTGCCTACCGTAAGCCGCTGCTGCTGCTGCTGCTGCTGCTGCTGCTGCTGCTGCTGATGCTGTTTCTGCTGCTCCACTTTCGGGCGCTGTTCCTGCTGCTGCTGCTGCTGCTGCTTGTTTTTCGGCTGCTGTTCCTGCAGCTGCGGCTGCTGCTCGTTTTTCGTGTGCTGCTGCTGCTGCTGCTGCTGCTGTTTTTCCTGCTGCTGCTCGTTCGTCGGATGCTGTTCCTGCTGCTAGTGCTGCTGCGATAGCTTCGGCTATTGACTCTGCTGCTGCGGCTTCTCCACTTGGTGCCCGTGGCGCTGCTGCTGCTGCTGCTGCTGCTGCTGCTGCATGTACTTTTGCTGGACACTTAGCTGCTGGACGTGCTGCTGCTGCTATACTGCTTCCATAGCCGTTAATATTGCTTTTGCTGCTGCTGTGGATGGGCGGCTGCTACACTCCAGCAGCAGCAATGCTTGCTGTTCCTGCTGCTGCTGCTCTCCGCTGCTGCCTCAAGAACGCCTTATTCGACTGGATTGTTGCGCCCAGCAGCAGCAGCAGCAGCAGCAGCAGCAGCAGCAGCAGCAGCTCCACTGGCTGTGCGTACGCCGCTGCAGAAGACGACAGCAGCAGCAGCAGCAGCAGCAGCAGCAGCAGCTACAAGGATCAGCTCCGCCCTTATGTCCAGGAGGCCCTTAAGGGCCCCAACTTCTTCGGACTCCCAGATGGTAAGGGCCTCAAACCCTTCCCTAGGGGCCCCCCTGGGGGCCCCCCTGGGGGCCCCCCTCGGGGCCCCCCTGGGGGCCCCCCTGGGGGCCCCCCTGGGGGCCCCCCTGGGGCCCCCCTGGGGGCCCCTCTGAAGGCCCCCGAGTAGCATTTTAGTCTTGGGGGCCCCTGCCCATCCTTGTATGGAATAGGGGGCCCCTGGGGGCCCCCAAATCATCATATAGAAGCCCCGAAGCCTTTAGGGGCCCCTTGGGTACCCATTGGGGGCCCCTAGGCTCTCTGGGGGCCCCCTAGTACCCTTTGGGGGCCTCCCCGGTGCCCTTGGGGGGCCCCTAGGCTGCTGCTGCTGCTGCTGCTGCTGCTGCTGCTGCTGCTTAATGGGTATTCTAGGGTACTCTTTTGGGGCCCCAAAGCTCTCTGGGGGGCCCCCAGAATGGCTCTGGGGGCCCCTCGCGGGGGGCCCCCTTAGGCTGCTTGGGGCCCCATTGGGGCCCCCCGGGGGCCCCCTGGGGGCCCCCTGAGGGTACAGAAACCCCAATGGGGGCCCTTGAGAGGGGGTTTGGGCTTTCAACCATAGGGCAGCAGCAGCAGCTGATGCTGCTGCTGCTAGTGCTGCTGCAGTGCGGCTTGTTCTTGTTGTGAACATGTGCTGCTGCTGCTGCTGCTGCTGCTGCTGCTGCTACTACTGCTGCTGCTGCTGTGTTGCGGGTCTGTCGCAGTTGGAGCGTCGGAGTCTTATGAGATTTTGCCGACCACAAGCCAAACTGTTGTGGACCCACATAGCAGCAGCAGCAGCAGCAGCAGCAGCAGCAGCAGCAGCAGCAGCATACTCCACTGTGTGCTGCGGCTACTCGGGCAGCAGGACAGGGAGCAGCAGCCTTTGCTGCAGCGGGCGCTGCTGCTGCTGTGCATGTGGGGCGACGGAGTGATATTTTTCTCTGTGTGTGGTTTGCTGCTGCTGCTGCTGCTGCAGCTGCGCGCTGCGCTGCTGCTGCTGGCCGGCAGCCCCTTCCTCGCAGCAGCCTGCTGCTTCTTAACAGCAGCAGCAGCAGCAGCAGACCGAGCCCTTGCTAGGTTCAGCAGCAGCAGCCAAGAAGACTGGGAGACGCAAAAGGCCCTTAACCAGCGGCTCCTGGGGGCCCCTGTGGGCCCCCCTGCTGCTGCTGCTGCTGCTGCTGCAGTGGGCTGCTACGTGCTGCCAGACTGCAGCAGCAGCGGGGGCCCCCAAACCTACTTAGAGGGGGGCCCCCAAGTTTTCAGGGGGGCCCCCGTGGAGTGCTACGGGGCCCACGTAGAGACGGACCCCCGGGGGGCCCCCCACCCAAGCGAGCTGCAGCAGCAGCAGCAGCAGCTGCAGCAGCAGCAGCTGCAGCAGCAGCAAGAGAGCACGTACTACCCCAACGCAGAGGCCTTTAGAGAGAGCTTCCGGGCAGCTGCAGCAGCTGCAGCTGCTGCTGCAGCTGCTGCACAGCAGCAGCGGCAGCAGCAGCAAGTGCAGCAGGAAAAAGCCGGGGAGCAGCAGCACATCGGGTCCAGGCCTCTGTCTTTGGCGGAGCCGTCGCCACCTAGCCAGTTCTACGAGCAGCAGCAGCAGCAGCAGCTGCAGCAGCAGCAGCTGCTGCAGCAGCAGCAGCAGCTGCAGCAGCAGCAAATGGAAGACAACAATCTAGACAGTGACGAAGAAGCCTCAGAAACAGTCGAGACTGTCTCAGTCCACACAGAGACTCCAGTGTCTATCCTACGCAGCGAGGCTTCCTGAAGGTTTGCTGCTGCAGCTATCCTGGCAGCAGCAGCAGCAGCAGCAGCAGCAGCAGCAGCAGTACCAGCAGCAGCAGCAGCAGTGCAGCAGCACCGACGGCAAAAGCGTGTCCAGAGAAGACTGAGTTCTGCACCGACGGCGAATGCGCGCAGCAGCTAAAATAGCCAGCTAGCTATCTGGCTAGCTAGCTCTCTGGCTGGCTGGCTAGCTAGCTAGCTAGCCTTCTGATTAGCTAGCTGTCTAGCTAGCTGTCTAGCTAGCTGGCTAGCTAGCTGGCTAGCTAGCTGGCTAGTTAGCTGGCTAGCCAGCTGTCCAGCTAGCTGTCCAGCTATCTGGCTAGCTGTCTAGCTAGCTGGCTAGCTAGACAGCTGGCTCGATGCCTAGCTAGCTGGCTAGCTAGCTATTTGTCTAGCTAGCTAGCTGGCTAGCTAGTTGACTAGCTAGTTAGCTGCCTGCCTAGCTAGCTAGCTGCCTAGCTAGCTGGCTAGCTAGTTGACTAGCTAGTTAGCTGCCTAGCTAGCTAGCTGCCTAGCTAGCTGGCTGCCTCGCTAGCTAGCTGCCTAGCTAGCTAGCTGCCTGGATAGCTAGCTGCCTAGCTAGCTAGCTAGCTACAGGGCTCACAGGGGCCCCCCAAGCTCGCCTTTGGCCCTTCTAGATTTCTAAAGTCCTAAAAGTCTTCCCAAAAGATTTAAATAGCCAATAGGGCCCCCCAAAGTTTCATGTGAAGCTTATTGTACCTTTTATACCCCTTGGGGGCCCCTGCGGGGCTTCAAGGGGGCCCCTTTAGCGCCTTGGGGGCCCCTTAAGGCCTTTCTGGGGGCCCCTCAAGACCCTTCTGGGGGCCTCTAAAGAGCCTCATGGGGGCCCCTAAAGTGCCTTCTGGGGGCCCCTAAAGTGCCTCCTGGGGGCCCCTAAAGGGCCTCATGGGGGCCCCTAAAGGGCCACCTGGGGGCCCCTAAAGGGCCTCATGGGAACTCCTAAAGGGCCCCCCGGGGGCTTTTAGTCCCTTGGGGCCCCTCTACCCCAAAAAGGCCCCGCAAGTACCTTTTTGCGCTTTTTGGGGGCCCCTTGGGGGCCCCTTCGGGGCCCCTTGGGGTCTTTGGGGCCCCCAGGGGGCCCCTGAAGCTGCTTCAGTTCCCAAAAGACGATCCCAGGGGGCCCCAAAAGACGATCCCAGGGGGCCCCAAAAGACGATCCCAGGGGGCCCCAAAAGGCGATCCCAGGGGGCCCCAAAAGACGATCCCAGGGGGCCCCAAAAGACGATCCCAGGGGGCCCCAAAAGACGATCCCAGGGGGCCCCCAAGCCAGGGGGGGCCCCACAGCTGTGGGGTTCTGTGGGGACCCCAGACTCCCAAAAGGGGCCCAAGCGCATGCACAAGAACTGAGGAGGGGGGCCCCCCAACAGGCACCAAGGGCTAAGGATAGAGGTTTAGGGTTTAGGGTTTAGGGTTTAGGGTTTAGAGAGAGCAGAGGGGGATGAAGACATGCAAAGGGAGATAATGAAAGACAAAGACAACTGGACCATTGGTCTCCTAATGAGGCCCTGGTGCTGCAGATTAGTTTGGGGCCCCCGTGGTTTTGGGGGCCCCCTGGGGGCCCCCCGAGAGAGCCTCTGGGGGCCCCACAGGGCCCCCAGCTCTAGGGACCTTAAGGGGGCCCCCAGCGTGAAAGAACCCTCGGGGGCCCCCTTCATGAGGCCCCCTTTGGGGGCCCCCCGCATGCGGTGGCTCTAAGAACCCCTGAATGGTTACTGAGGGGGCCCCCCGGGAACTCCTGGGGCCCCCGGGGGCCCCAGGGGGCCCCCAGGGGGCCCCACTGGGTCCCCGGGGGCCCCGGGGGCCCCCAGGAGACCTCGGGCGTGGGGCACCCGAAGGACCTGAACCCCAGAGAGTTGGACTTTGCCAGCGAACTCTCCTCCATCGTAAACCCTAAACCCTAAACCCTAAACCCTAAACCCTAAACCCTGAGCTTGGGGCCACGGGCGAAGTGGCTCTTCCAGGGGTTGAGGTCACCTGGGGGCCCCTGGTGACCAGCTGCGTAATTATAGGGGTTTTTCATTTTAAAGTATTTAATTTTAAATTAAAAATACCATTAACTGCAGCACAGAATATAGATCTTCAGCTTCTGCTGCAGTTTACCTCCAGTTGGGAGCCCTGGGGGCCCCCGGGGGCCCCCAGGGGCCCCCAACAAGGTCACCGCCTAAGACTCTGGGGGGCCCCCTGGGGGCCCCCCGAGAGGCACAAGAAGGCGGGGGGCCCCAAACCTAATTATAATTGAAAGGGTACTTAAAAAAGAGGTGTAAATACACCCTAGCAGTCTGATTAGGGCCCCAGGGGCCCTCAACAGGACAAAAAAGCCTCAGCTGGGGGGCCCCCCGGGGCCCCCGGGGGGCCCCCAAAAGAAACAAGGGAAGAGGGGCCCCCCTACAGGGTACTGGGGGCCCTGGGGTCTTAGCTGTAGCTCGCCGCAGCCACAGCTGTCCGCCTTATAAGCCTTATGAGTATAACGGGGGGCCCCCCAGGGGGGCCCAAGAGGGGCCCCCAGGGGGGCCCCCATGGGGGCCCCCAGAGGGGCCCCCAGGGGGACCCCCAGAGAGGATCCAAGGGAGGCCCTCGGGCCAACATACAGTTTCGGAGAGTGCTGCTGCCCGTGCTGCTGCTGCTGCCGCTGCTGCTGCTGCCGCTGCTGCTGCTGCTGCCACCGGGGGGAGGTTTTGCTGCGCATGCCACGCTGCTGCCGCGGGGGCCTGCTGCGCTGGCAGCAGGGCTAAACCCTATGGGGGGCCCCCCGGGGGGGCCCCCCGTAGGGTTTGGCTCTTATGTGGGGCCCCCGTGCTCAGTAGCTTTTATTTGGCCTCAGGCTTGCTTCCCTGCCGCTGCAGCGGGTGCAGCAGTAGGAGCAGCAGCAGCAGCAGCAGCAGCAGCA